AGTATCTATTCTGGGACAATATGTGGCCACTTATGGCTCAGAGCCATTTTTGGATTTCCTACCGTAATCCTACAGTAGTGAGGAGTGCTGTGTGATTAGCTCCATAAAATAAATCTAAGTGAAAGCCTCCTCTACTGAATGGTGCTTGAATCTAGGGAAACGACTCAGTGGAAAGAGAGTTATCAACAGTTAAAAGTGTGTACTTAGTTTTGGGACACCCTGTATAGATTTTACTTGGAAAGGCCGCATCGACTAAAAACGTTTTCCTTGTGTGTCGAACACTAGGTAATTGTTGTACAGCCAGCGTACCGCCAAATCTTTCTCTCAGGAGTTTCTGCGTTTTAGAATAAGTCTAGTGTAAGCTGCTTTTTCTTCCTGAGACCTTTGCGGGTCTCGGCTTTTAGTGTTCAAGTACAGATAGGGACGGAGCTATTTATTAAACAAACGGCTAGTTTGGACTGAGACTTTCTTTTGTTATCCTCAAAGTAATGCATCTACACTAATGCTTCGACTTCCCAATCATATGGATTTTTTATGTTTCCTCCCGAAATGATGGCACCCTGAAATAAACAGACATGGGGTGGTTTCGTACTCGACACAAGCAAACCTCCTCAAGTAGCTTATAAATGTAAGAATAGTCCACATGGTCATGGTAATGCAGTTTGTCGATGTAGTCAAGTACTCGCCACAGCTCCTCTTTACATTTTAGCGGTCCAAGCATGCTCTCCTGAAAATGGTATCTAGTCAAGAAAAAAATTATGTGCCTGCGGAAAGCTGGGGCTCACCCTTCTTGTTGTTCTGCACTCTTCCTTAACTTTCAAAACTTCGTGTTTATCGGCCATTCTCTTCCAGAGAAGACCTAAACGAGGACATTTACATCGAGTTCAGAAAATTACGCTTCCCAACGGTAAAAGAATTTGCCTGGCTGGGGCGATTCACCTCCTGGAACAGTTAGATCCAGCATGAGGTAGAACCATGATTCGCAGTCATCCTTCGGTCCCATCTCTATGCCTTTGTGACAAGCTAAGGAAGCGAAGGGAATGGTGCCCTA